CGGGTAGCGTTCGCAACAAGTGGTAAACATAAATTATACAGAGTGATCATTTTACATCTGCAACTTTTGCATCTTTTTGCAAAACAAGAAAAAAAAATAGAAAAAAAAACATTAAAGTAATAATTAACAATAGGTAAAATGTCACGCGCGCATGGTGCACTTTTCTACCTCTGGACGACGATGAATCCTAATCTTCCGCAACCAATCCGACAAACGTCGTGTAACTAATAGAAAAAAGAACGTAACGAAATTGTTATTTTTCCGACTTTGTCGTTGTCGGTCCAACGCGGTCGACTTTGATGTGTGCTTGCCTCTATTATGACCTTCTTTATTCTTCTTTGCATCTCGTCATTGTCCTGTCGCGTCCCGTGGTGTCCATTTCTTCAGGCTTCTTTTTTAAAGAATCAATAAGTCACCTGTCAACGCTTTATTTTGAGTTATTTTAACAACTTGCGACTCTTTTAACTTCAAACACACGAAAATAAAGCTAATGCAACGTGCGGTGACTTAAAGAAGACATAAAGAAGCGATTATTGTTTGTAATCAAAAATTTAAGCCGATTTTCAGACACCTTTGAGTATTTTTTTCTAAACGAGAAAAACACGACGTTTCGACGCTGTACGATGAAATCCAGGAGTGATATTTGTGTTTAATTTATTTGTTTGTCAGTTTATTGATATTGTAGGTACCTACCTATGTTGAGTATAACATTAATAGGATGCTTAGATTAGGATTCTTTAAATTCCAATGCGTTCGTTTTATGTTTGGCTTTTAGTTTATTGTTGGTTTTATTTTTTATTTTTATGCGCGCGGACATTACAATCGAGAATGTGCGTTTTCGGAGGCATGATTCGATCGTAAAATGATAATAATCAATTTTATAACTATTACGTGCTAGAAACTTTGGAATTAGTGTTATAGAAACATAATTTTTACATTTTTCTTCTTCACCTGTTTAGCAAATCTTAGAAAAACACTATACTCGTAGTTTTGTTAAATTTTGCATTTATTTCCAATTAAAAATTTTAGAAGATTTATAATTTTCTTTGTCTGTGGTAATATATCAACGTCACCGGTGTGTTATATTGTTTTATGACTTGATTCGTTAAACATAGCTCAATTTCTCTTACCACTGCAATCTTTACTTGTTGTCATTGTACCACGGCTTCCATTTTGAATACTTCTACATTCTATATATGCACTAGCAACATGGTGTAACTCACGGGTTCGTTAAGTAATAAACCAACAAATTCAGAAATGTATTCGACTAAATACCTCCCAGCGTTTAATGTTGAATTTTTTTATGTGCAATGTTAAACACACTGATTGTCCCGCGTGGTTCACATGTGTCTCAAGCGTCTTGAGAATGTCCATAACCTCGCGTTGCGCGTTGTAAATAAACGAATAAATAGACACGTTTATGATGCTCGTTATGGCTGTAATCACGAGAAGCGTCTGATGACGGCGTGTTAGTATGCATCTACTGGGTCACCTGTGCTCGAAACCTCTTGTATCTTGCGATGCAGCTTCCAAAATCCCACCTGTAACATTTATTTAACTATGTGTAATATAACTAAGTATCATAAAGGTTGTCTTGCGTCTTGAGCTTGCTTGTTCAAACAACAACAAAAAACAAACGAACGAGGCTGAGGAATTGCTAGAGAAATGATGGATGAAAGGGATGTGAAAAAATGCAATTAAATGGTTTATTGGTAGGCCACTAATAATATTATTATTATTGTTGAGTTTGATGACTCATTTTAAAAGTTTTTTCGATATTTTAGTAATGATTTTATTATCAGAAAAGAGGTCAAGATAAACGGCGTAAAATAACACAAATAATGTGTTTAGTGATTTGCGTTGCACACAGATGACACTAGCAGTCCGTGTTCTGATAATTTTACAAAAAAAATATTTATTTGTGAATGTGTTTCAACTTTTCGGTAAGTTTTTGTTGTTTATGAGTTTACCTATTATTGAACCCTGGCTGAGTAATAATTGATTAAAATGTTAGTAATCTATGATTTCTAATCTTTTAATACAATAATCGGTTCATAATCTACCAAAAGCTTACCACACAGCAAGCTTTTTTCTCCTTTGACATCTTTTTATAATCATTTGCACAAAGCAAAACCAACTAAACACTAAGTAGCCCTTTGGGACTCTCCTCAATCTGCTCCATTATCATCGGTTGAGTTTTCAAGTGCACAAGAATGAATATCTTTAGCAATGTGCAACTTTTCGCTCGGCGGACGAAAAGAGTAGCTGCGTATCGAAATGGATTTGTTGTTAAAACGTATCACGACACAATGAGTGAGTCGTGAGCCTATTTGTGCGATGTCATCGGCTCGTCAAACGATGGAAAAAATCGATTTTTCTTTTCAGACTTTTTCCGTCTTTCTTTTTTAGCTCACCAACACGTATGTGCTGACTTCAGTATAAGGTATAACAACACAATGTAAATCGATGAACCCTTTTTCTTTACACGCTTCTTTTGTGCCATTATTTGCACCCTTTGTCACCGCTGCCGCTGGTGTAGACATCGTTGACAGAAATCCATTTTTAGCAAAAATATTATCACATTTCACGCGACTTTACTGAAATTGTCGAAATGAATATGTATCTTTTCGGCGACTCTTTGTGACTTATCAGTGCATGTACAAAACTAGGCAAAAATTTTACAACCTGGGAAATAATACTAAAAAAATATTACAAACTGAAATAAATTCGTAAAAGTGTTGATGGTTGGTGTAGCTATGAGCAATGTCGATGTGGGAAAAAATCCGCTTATGACTGCATTGGATTTTGAAAATCGCTTGTACTGATGTCGAAAGCGACGTTAAATATACGTAAGTCAAAAATCGGATTTTTGCATTCTGTCCTCACGACCGGTCAGATTATAAAATTTTAAGTCAATCGGTTGACATGTTTGCTTATATTCTGATGCGTACATGTAGCATGGGTATAAGTTACCGATGACAACTTTGGCATTATATCTCTTTAAAAACGACCGAAATGATGAAATTCACGCATCGATGACTTTTTTCTTACGATAATACTTTCAAAATCTGCTTAACACGACACCAGAGGTATTTTAAATATTTTTTCAAATTTAAAATATGAATGTAAACATATTGTAGGTGTGAGAAAATTTTTGTCAACATGAAATTAAATCATGAAATAATATTTTTAACGTGTTTTTCATGTGCTTTAAATAGGCATTAATGTGATACCTAATGATGCAATACAGACCATTATAACAAACTTTATCTACGCATTTAATCGATTATCAATTTCAATCCAAATTCGTCCTAAAATACCTCTACAGCTTTATACATTTATAGCTTTCTTCCACTGGCTATTCTTCTATTGATCCTATATAAAGATGACGCAGGAGATATGATACAGTATACAGCCGTCACGTTGATATTGATCTCGTCGAGAAAAATGTTTCGCTGAACTTTTAAGAGTGCTTAAGCTGAAAATGTGGTGATTGCTGGTGGTTAACACAGATTGCCCTGATTTTAACGAAGAAATTCATTCAGCAAGTAGGTAGAAAACTTCTTCTCAGAATACTTAAATTAGCGTCATAAAAAGTACTCCAGATTTTTTATTATCAATAGAATTGTAACTGTACTTGAAGAACAGAATAAAAAAACTCAAATTTTATGTAAGATGACAGCACAATATGCAAAACATTTCAAAATGTTGTAAAAACAGCTTTTTTATATTAGACTACCACTAGAAGTTGATTTGAAACATTCCAAATTGGTTCATTATTTGTTAGCATTTGATACTTAATACTTCAAAATTTACGGCCAATTCTACGTCCAACGCCGCATTTAATTTTTATCGGCGTGCTACCGTTCGGAATTCTTAGCGCTTGTTACGCATGCAACGCAGTTGAATTTACGATCTACAAGATGCGTACCCAATATAGAAGTATACACGAATAGATATAATAATATTCAAGTTACACGTATAATCATACCCCTCGGGGGCAGTTTTATTGACTGCCTGCGATGCTTTGATATCAAATTTCACGCAGTGATATCACACATCATATTATCGCAACATAAGCAGTATTTTTACATCTTCAGTTTATTGATTTATATTAGCGTAATTTATTGAACACTTTATGGTTATTTCGGAAATATTTATATTGTTTATTTCCTGTTTAGAAAAAATTAACTAGTGAAGCAATAATTTAAATGAAAACATTTTTAACATTTATGATAAGAGATTTTTACCCCCCAAGGAGAAACGCGGTGTTTTTGTTTGAACCGATGCATTTAATAAGGATTACGTTGGATTTACCATCAGTTGTTAAACTACCTGTGGATTAGAATATGTAAACAGTTCGAAGAAATGTAAAATATTGGATTTCCAGCAGTGAGCACTTGAGTTGCAGATTTCACACGTTTACGTATTCATCAATCACTTAAATTCTGATCAAAATAATTCATCATAAATAGTTTGGGTGGCAGAATTTTAAAATGTGGGCGATGAAACTCCTTTTAAAATTAAATTGCTCCCATTGACTTGTATTGTTAGATTTTTCATTTTATTGAATTCTTTTCATTTTTTCTTGTTACTATTTTTGAATATTCAATTCTGAATGCTTGTATTGTTGATGCATTTTGTTCTTGTGTTTGTACACGCTGTAACATCTGCGCCCTCTCTCTGCATTGGACACTACGCAAAGAAAAAATCATCCCCTTATTTGATTTCGTGATGTTTCAAAAATACATTTCTACAACGTGTTGTATGAACGCGGAACAATAGCAGCTACCAGCTACCATAACGAAGGCGCTTGTTTGCTCGATGGTAGTAACAACATTTACACAAAACAAATGAAAACGCGTCGCGCCCCACCATCAACAAGGCGGTCCAATGTGGGGTGTACAATGCTTTGCTATTGGAGGACTCAGCGCTAGTGCAGTTCCCCCATCTGGGTATAAATATGCCCACCACTTTCAGTTGAGGTCAGTTACGAGCTGCCAACCGAATAGGTGTGTGCTCAGTTCAGCGCTAGAGATTTATACAAAGTGATACGCATACCTCAGTTGAGTGAAATATGGTGAAGAAGGAAGAACACATTTCATTAACCATGACTTCGACACCGCTCAAACATTCGTTCTCGATCAGCTCGCTGATTCCGGAAAGTGTACAAGATGACATCCGTGTTGATATACCATCACCTGTCTCCGACCTTAGCTGCGATAGTGACTTGGATGTCACCTCTTCAACACCACCATTGGACTGCAGCAAAAGTTCCGATGATGAAAAGTCTGAAGATAAAGATAAAAAATCCAAAGAGAAGCCACCATACAGTTACAACGCTTTGATCATGATGGCAATCCGCAACAGTCCCGAAAAACGACTCACCCTCAACGGCATCTACGAATACATCATGAGGAACTTCCCATACTACAGAGAAAACAAACAGGGATGGCAGAACTCCATCCGCCACAATCTAAGTTTGAACAAGTGCTTCGTCAAAGTGCCACGCCATTACGACGACCCCGGAAAGGGTAACTACTGGATGTTGGACCAAAGCGCTGATGATGTCTTCATCGGAGGTACAACTGGTAAACTCCGCCGTCGCACCACAGCCGCTTCACGATCTCGTCTTGCTGCTTTCAAACGTTCTATGCTTGGAGTACAACCATCACCATACGCACCACCACCAACAGCATTCCCAGGATACAATCCAGCTTTGATGGGTCTCTATCACAACCCAGCTCTATTGGCGTCTATGTACCAAAGGTACAACCCCTACATGCTGCCAAAACCACAAATGTTTCCTGGATTTGCACCTTCGATTGAACAACGTCTTCAACCTACCATGGAAGGCATCCACATGATGAGATCACCTTATGAATTGTATCCAGGTTTGAGAATTCCTCAACCTATGAGTATGCCAATGCAGTTCAGCCCACAACCCGTTGCGTTATCACCGAGCAGTTGCAGTAGTAGTCCTGAACCAAGACCAACTCCTGAATTGTTTAAACCGCTGAGTGTTATCACAAGGCAATAAGAAAAACAATGGTCTTTCAGGCTTGAATACTATACTATACCAAAATGTGATCTCGACAAATCTAGTACTGCAATTTAATTTATATCTGTAAATATTGTGTATATAAAATGTTTTATGTAAATTTGTATAAAAAAGATTATTTATATTGACTGATGAAAGACAAAGAATATTAAATATATTAAGTTCCATGGTGTTCCATAATGGACATTATGATTATTAAAAATAATAACAGTTGTAATTACTCAACCCTATAAAACATTTCAGATATCAAAAAAAGTAAAAGAAAAAAATCGAACTTTTTTCTAAATATTTGTAAATTATTCATCTTTGAAGCACAAAGTATACATTGATTTCTCTTTTGGGAGCCGCCGCCGCGCCTGATCTGTTAAATGTTGTGATCTTTCAAGTCTTCTCCTTTACTTTGATATATTAACAACCACTTCAAACAACATTAAACAAAAGCCGTCTGATGTTCCATAATATACACAAATACGTCCCGTTTTTTTCCTTCTTGCTTTGCTCGCTTTTCAGTGTACAAAAAACGATGCCTCGAATGTTTCGTTTCGAGCCCGCGGTGTTTATTTTGATTGAAGTGAAAAAGCGATGTTTCAATTGCGCCGCGCCTCACATGAAAGTCGGCTTTGATTGATAATGCGTGCTTCGGGATGAACTGTTTAACTATTCCACGAAACGGATGGGAAATTTTGTAATTTTTATGTGAAAATAATTCAATTGATCAAGATATTTTGATAGATTACATTTTACGACATATTCGTAATTTTATTATAAGCAAACAGCTGTAAAACGCAGTCACAAATCAGTTAACTCTTGGGGGACGTTGTGGACGTGGAAGTTGACTTTGAGGTTATGTGTATCCACATTATATTGCGTTTTATTGCTGGTATAAACGCCATCTTTGGTTAGTCTAAAATCTAAAACCAAGTAATGTTGGTTTTGAAGCATCCCTGCACGTTTACGATTTGGAAAATGTTGAAAACGTAAAAGATACTTCCTTCCTCGACTCTAGCACGTTGTTAATTCTATGTGGTGTCGTGGTGCGCCCTCGAATCACCATCATAAAGATTGGTTTGTTGGTTGCTTGCTGGTTTCCCATTTCTGAAAAGTGTTCGCCGAAAAACCTTCGCCTTCGTATTCAATGTGTTTGTTTTATTGCTTTATTGCCGGTGTATTTCGAATATTTTCGATGCTAGGGCTGTTTATTCAAATGTTGCCTTCTACACTTGAAGTCAAACCTACGAAAGCTGTAAATCTTAACCTTCTCGCGTTAGGTATTTCAGAAATAACTCAAAACCAAATTTTATTACGACTATTGCGCATTGTCGGTCGAATTTATACTGCGCCACGGTTCGATATTTCAAATAAAATCCAATGCCGCAAAGTAAACTTTTCCGTCAACAGTGCAATAACAAAATATTGCATTGTATGTTTTATTTGTTGTGTATAAACACCATCATCGGTTGGTATTGACTTTCAAGGTTTCGCACCCAAACATCTCATTCTTATTGGTTAATTGCCGTTATAAATTAATTTCTAATATTGCAGAAGTTTCTGATGTTTATCAAGGTCAGGAAAGATGTTACCGCATACAAAATTTACTGTTACTATCATTCAAAAGATATAATTGAATTGAATAACTTTATATAATTAATTATTACATATTTATTTTTAAATTTTCTTTAAAAAAATTATTTTGCTTGTAACATTTTGTGTAAAGCGTTTTAATACGTACGGCTTGCGTTTAATAACTTTTGATTGAACGTAGGTGTATCCATCATTACGCTGTTGTTTTTTCATTCTGCGCTTTGCGCTCTCGCAGAGACCGTTTGTTGCCCTGCGGGTCAATTAGTGCGCTCTAACAGCACGCAAGAACGTGGTGTGGTTCTCATTACAGTATTACACGGCTTGTTTCCTTCGCTACATTCATTCACTGGCTTGATGCTCGCCCAACGTTAATTTTTCGTCACTTAACTTCCATTATTATTAACATTTCGGTTTACATTGTTGATACTTGTTGTCGCTTGTTTATTTCCTTCTTATACACGCTTGCCACTCGTGATAGTTGCGTCGATTAAGACCCGTGTGGGACGTGCAAAGCGTTGTGCACAAAAATACTTTAATTAAGCACATGGCTGACGACTGCTAGAGTATAGTTGAGGTTAGAATCGTTACAAGATGTTACAACTTGTGTATTGCAGAGATAATTAGCTAGATGGTTGGTTAATTGCTGGTGATTGAATGTAGGTAGACGAGGAAATTGAATGAATGCATGTGAGAGGTCAATATTTATCATCAGATCATTTGGTAATTGACTTTTTGAACTGCGAGTTGCATATGATGATCTGTATGATCATATTCAACACATTTATTAACAATCAGACAAGCCATTCATAAGAATCGTCTTCAATTGTAGGAGTAAATAATTCTTGACTATTTAAAAATCTTTTGATATTGTTAGAAAATATGTGCACGTGCACGTTCTTCATTAAGTGTTTATCGCGGCACGTGCCGAACGTGCGCACTTCTCAATTCTTATCACATTATCGACACATTGATGACAAACACCCTTCGATGAACACAAAAGACACACACAGGAAGCGTTTTGAAGTTTTTTATCGTGACTGCAAACAATACCGATGTGAATGATTATGATAACGTGATTGTTCATGGCGGATAATCCAGGGATTAAATGATCCACTTAATCGCGACAATAGCCCCACATAGCACTAGAAAAGATTCCTTTGCATTTAAGCGCGCTGATAAAACGTTAACAAGATAACAACGTGTAACGCATCGTCAATTCGTCTGTGGTCACACACAGCGAATACAAACAATAATAAAAAGCCCTCTCTAGTAGATATCTAGAGATACTGCTGACCGCACGGCGACGAAGATGTATTACGTCCGCGACATGTCGTCGTCTTTTGTTATGTGCGTGCGGTGCGCGCACAGGATGCTGGGAATCGTAATGTAAAGTCAACAATGCAATTGTGCGACGCAATTACGTGTGCGTATTGTGAAGAAATCAAGCGCGGTCACCGTGTGTGCGCGCTGGGCATTCGTCGTATATTATAACAATGCGAACGAATAATATGGCATTGTATAGACACTTATCATTCATTCTCAATTAGATGATTGCCGTTGCGGGCGATGCAAGCCGTCGACGGTTTAATGATAACACGACATTTCGCTGGCACACACAAAGTTTACACACATTTCTTTCAATTGTCGCGCAAGCAGTTCGGTCTATTCTTGCTCAATTATCGTGTTAATTTTTTTACAGGAAATCCAGATCAAAATGAAACTGTTGTTGCACTAGTACAAAATAATATTCAATGGTATTGTCCATAAAATAACAACTTTTTAATAGTATATTAAGTATCAAGTGGCTAAAAGGGAGTTTTTGTCACGAGATTGATTAAGAGTGAGCGTAGCGAGCATACTTTAGTACTTTAGGTACGGCCTTAGCCGTCAGTGTGTAAAGTACCACCATGGAAAAAGTTACGCTTTAAAGGTAGACGTAGAAAAAATAAAATTTCAACTAAAGTGCCCTCCTGAACGTCGATTCTGAAAAAAATATTATTCCTCGGCAAGTCCTCGGTAGTATAGTGGTCCAGTATTCCCGCCTGTCACGCGGGCGACCGGGGTTCGATTCCCCGCCGGGGAGGATTTTTAATGTTTATTGTAATGATTTCTTTGTTTTTGTTTAAAATTTTTATTTTTGGAAAGAAAAGGTAATAAAAGTGGATATTATGGTTATATTCTAAATTAGTTAGCATCATAATGACAATATAATTCCTATTAACCAAATCCATGCAATTAAACACACAGCTGCAGTCACTAAGCCTTTCTACATCTGCCAATATTAATAACACCGAGTAGTGTTAAGTACTAAGTACAACAATTAAGTGCACACACTCCACATTAGATTCATAGCATTCATGAATGAAACTGAATGATTCAAGAGCATCTGTTTGTTAGTCACGTGTCTATTTATATTTTTCATTTGTGGCGACAAAAATCTGTAAATTCTACTTGCAGTTGCAAACAAAACAAATAAATATTTTATTGGGAAGTTACAAGCCAGAAAACAATAATTTTTATATTAATGTTTACCAATTAATCAGGTGAACTTAAGTAATATATTTACTCGTACATAATTGTATCATTTGATTAATGAAGAAATTATTAATTACTGTCGGTGTATATGAACATGACGTGTTGTTGCCATTTATACAAACGACGAAATTATGAATGAACAAATGAACGCACGCATGAATGAATGAGTAAAATCAATTGATCTTTGCCTTCTTAATTTCTACAATTAAATACGCAGCGGATGTTGTGTGATGTACTTAAAACAATAAGAAGTTAACACTATTCTAACACTATTACTCTGCAAATACAAGTACAGCGCGCATGCGCTTTTGGTACTTTCGCTATATGCGCGTGTAGCGCGTGATAAGGAAATAGGTAATTGGTAGTTCCTCTATATCCAAGTTTGCTTAACAAAATTATTGAACATATTGTGTTTCATTTTGTTGCAACATTTCCAGTTGTTTTAAATCAAACGAACTATTTTCTATTGTCACGGTTTAAGTCGTTATGACAAATTCTTACCAAATACAGTATAGTTATATAGTTTGTATCGAGATGCCGCTAGAATGCACGTAGCACCTATTTGGATTAAATGTTTGTTTATTTACATCGGAGAAGTTGTTTTTGGTATCGGTGAGTGTACGAACATTGGGGCACATACTGATAAATCATGATAGTCGTGGCGTGTGAGAATTATCGGTGAATTATTTTACTCTGAATTTTTAACATCTCATAGGGGAAAGTAGCCATATTTGGACCATTTTTATATTTTTTGATTTATAGAGCCACATATAAACTGTCAATAAAAATTAAGTAGCGGAAAAGTAACTCACAAGGCTTACCAACAAAATGATATTTTTGGTTTAAGTAAAAATTATATTTATACCCCTCAAATTTCAATTTAAAAAAATTGTGTTTTTGGTCCGAATTAAGAAACCGGTTTCCTAAATTGGACCGCGCGGTTTCCTAAATTGGACCATGCTTTTTTAACGGCAATTGACACAACAGTAAATTTTAGTTTTAGCAGTAACACAAGCACATTTTGTTTAAACCAAAGTGCGGCATTTCATACAGTGGATCATTTCGAAGATTTGAGCTCGTCCACAAGCTTTT